GAAGGCAGACGCTTAACTGACTGAGCCACCCAAGCATCTCAGTGAGGTAATATTTTTTTTTAAAAGATTTGGGAGAGAGAAGTAGAGCACTCGTGCAGGGGGAGGGGCAGAGAGAGAGGGACAAGCAGAAGGGCAAGCAGATTTCATTGCTGAGTGCAGAGCCTGATGCAGGGCTCAATTCTCACGACCTCGAGATCATGACCCGAGCCAAAATCAAGTCGGGATGCTTCACCGACTGAGCCACCCAGGCGCCCCTAAAGTAGTATTTTGAAAGAAAGTAAGAATAGAAAGTTAAAACATTAAAAATATTTGTACATTTCAATATATTTTAGAAACTTAATTTCTTTATTTTTTTTTAAAGATTTTATTTATTTATTTGAGAGATAGCATGAGAGATAGCATGAGAGGGAAGAGGGTCAGAGGGAGAAGCAGACTCCCTGCTCAGCAGGGAGCCCGATGTGGGACACAATCCTGGGACTCCAGGATCATGACCTGAGCCGAAGGCAGTTGCTTAACCAACTGAGCCACCCAGGCACCCACTTAATTTCTTTATGAGTTTATATAAAATAATGTTTGTATTCTGAACTTCATCTTTTTTAAAAAAGTGGTGTGTTGGTGATGCGAATTATAACCAAAGTTTTTATGAAACAAAAATAGCACCAGCTCGTTTTAAAGAAATTACCTGTTTAATAGATCATCTGCTTCCTAAGGGCAGAAAAGAGAATTGCAAACTCAGTGACAAAGCCCTCAGTCCAAATATTTGCTGTGAAGCTGGTAGGTTCTGGTTGAAGTAACAACCTGACAAGGTATGATGAAGTAATCTGGTTTTCCTTCTGAAGGTTTTACAAATTTTAGTTATACTGAGAAAATGATGAAGCATTTTTACTTCTACGATAGGTAATTTTTAACATTTATTTAACTTACTGTTTGGAATGAGAGATCGTTTCTTTTTAAAAAATTGGAAGCTTTGGGCACCTGGTAGGGGTGGGGGCGGGGCTCGGTCGGTGAAGCAGCCGACTCTTGGTTTCAGCTCAGGTCATGATCTCGGGGTCGTGGGATCGAGCCTCCCCGCGTTGGGCTCCTGGCTCAGCGTGGACTCTACTCCTCCCTCTCCCCGGCTCATGCTGTCTCTCAAATAAAATCTTAAAATTTTGAAGCATTTGCTCTAGAAGCTTCATCGCCAAGAGAACAGGAGGAAAAGATGCTCTTCTCTTGGAACTCTAAACCGGGCAGGAGGGGCCGGCCAGGGGTAGTGGGGCCAGCAGGTGGGGGTGCACATCCCGCCCCCTGCTTCCTGTGAAGTGGGGGTAATGGGTCGGTGCCAATGCCGGCCCCCAAGAGCCCTCTTTCCTTAGGGTTCGCTGGTTGCCAGGAGCAGAAGCCCACTTGCCAAGCCAGCAACACACACAGCTGTAGGCAGGCTGTGCGGGGCTCACAGGGGGAGGGAAAAGGTGGTGAACCAGTGGCATCTGGAAAGACAGGCCAAGTCAGCTCCGGGATCCCGGGAGTAGGAAACCTTCCCTGTGGGTATGAAACTCTTTCCTCTCAGAGTCTCTCCTGCAAGAACCGAACTGGCTGGGCATGGGTCATGCCAAGGGGAGGGCCCACGTGACTGCACTGGGAGTTGGTGGCACCAGGGAGACCCAGTACGCAGTGCCCACGACCCTAGTGGCACAGGTGCCACACCGTGGCCGCTTAGTCAATGATACGAATGAATGACAGTATGGACACTGGGAATCTTGGAATCTGGGGCCCCAGAAGGACCTCGGCAAAGGCTCCAAGGGGCTGACTTGTCAAGACCACGGCGAGGGGCCAGAAGGGCCTTGGACAGCCCTGCTTGCCCACCTGAGCCCTCATGCTCTCGACCACCACCCGTCCCAGGGGTGCTAAGTGGGCGCAGAGTTCACCCCAGAGCCAGGGTGTGGGTCCCTGAGGGCAGGAATCCTGCACACACTGGGTGTTTGCAGAGACGAGAGGCCTTAGGGAGGCCACACCCAGAGTGACAGAATGACATGGGGGGTGGCCCAGCTCTCCAGGGGCACGAGGGGCCGGGGAGTATGGACTGGGGAGCCAAGTGGCAGCTCCAGGCCCCGCAAGGGCCCCTCTTCTCCCCACCCACCATGCGGGTCCCACCACCGTGCGAGGCGCCGCCACCCTGGGGCCAGCCCTCACAGCCAAGGCCACACACGCTTGCAAAGTGAGGCGGGAAGATTGCAAAGTGAGGCGGGAAGAAAGAAGACAAGGTCAGCGCTAACTGCGTCCCAGTTTCTGTTTGTTTATTTTTTTGTTTTTTTTTTTTAAGTATGGAAGCTCAAGTATAAGATGTAGATTTTTCTTTTTTAAGCTTTACAAAAAAACAAAATAAAACAAAAAACTCCTTTTGCATTCCATAAAAATTGACAGAAAAGCACCTGGCCAGAAGAGCAGATGGTCAGCAGG